AGCAATTTTCATGTAGACTTGATTGTGTCTTTTGGATCATTGTCTTGCTGCATGACCCAGCTGCGCTTCAGCTTCAGCTCACAGACAGATGGTCTGACATTCTCCTGTAGAATTCTCTGATACAGAGCAGAATTCATGGTTCCTTCTATTAAGGCAAGTCGTCCAGGTCCTGAGGCAGCAAAGCATCCCCAAACCATCACACCACCACCACCATGCTTGACCTTTGGTATGATGTTCTTACTGTGGAATCCAGGGTTTGGTTTTCACCAGGCATAATGGGACCCAAAAGTTGACTCAAGTTTGCCAAAAAGCACCTGGATGATCATCAAGACTCTTGGAATAACGTTCTATGGACAGATGATTTCAAAAGTATAACTTTTTGGACTACATGGTTCCAGTAATGCCTGGCGAAAACCAAACTCTGCATTCCACAGTAAGAACATCATACCAAAGGTCAAGCATGATGGCGTGATGGTTTGGGGATGTTTTGCTGCCTCAGGACCTGGACGACTTGCCTTAATAGAAAGAACCATGAATTCTGCTCTGTATCAGAGAATTCTACAGAAGATTGTCAGACCATCCGTCTGTGAGCTGAAGCTGAAGCGCAGCTGGGTCATGCAGCAAGACGATGATCCAAAACACACAATCAAGTTTGGTTGAAGATCTGATAACATTCTGTATCACAAATATGCAAAAGTAGATACAACTAGAAAGGGGGCAAATACTTTTCCATAGCACTGTAATTTGTATGACATAAAGGCATTACTAGTTTATAGGCATTTAAGGAGTAATGTTCACTACAGATTTGAAGGCAAAGCGTGCTGTGCCACGTAGTGCAAGGTGTTGCTGTAGCTAATAGCCTAATGGTCCCCTGCTAAAACAGTAAGCAAATCAGTTCAGCTCCATTGCACAGCACATGCACATCTCGAGAGTTAGTTGCTCTCTTGTGCAGAATCTCATCAGAAACACACACACACAACAGTTGCATACATACATGCATGAACTATATAATATATTATGTTTACCATGCATTTGCAAAAAATAACTATTTTCACACACACGCTTCACTGCGCATAACATTGATGTCCTTTACAAGAGTACCCTCTGATACTAGTATCATGGCTCATGGTTTGAGAGAAAAAACATCTATTCAAATCCATACACCCACATCTTAGTCATGAAAACCCCATAGACATTTGCATTTTTCATGGTCCAATTATTTGAACCCTGTTTGAGTTCCTCAGATAAAACAAATGTCCCCTGTTTTTCCAGTGTGGGGTGGATGTATGTAACATAGATAGGGAGACTAACTAGGACTGCGAAGAGGGAAAGTAGCAGAAAATTGAAGGATATTTGGTGTGATAAATAGCCTAGTTCTTGTACCCGTACCCCAGTCGTACACACACTGAAGAACTTTGTGGCTTTATTATGTGTGCATGCATGTATGTCCTTTAAGTGCAACGTTAATGCATGTGAATGTGTGTTTATAATGGACTATTGTGTGTATGAGTGTGTGTGTTTTGTGTTCCCTCTCTGTCACCTGCTTTCCGGTTAACACCAGCTTCCCTGAACTACCGCCAAATAGTTAAGTCAACATGCAACGTCACTGTTATTTTGGCTCATCCTGTTGCTACAGACAATAGTGTCTGACTTGCTCCAAGACGGGACACACCCTTGACCTTTAACCTGGACTTGAGCCCTTAACCCCTTGCTTGAGGTAGAAGTTGCCCTTAAAAACTGATATTGGATCAGATTACCTGATCCTGTATCAGTGGTTAAGGGGAAACATACTAGTTTACCTATTCTTAATTACTTAAAAGGTTCATATCACTGTCAGGAAATGCAAGCTCCTCCAGCCATAGCGCAAATCAGTGTCCTGACCCAAAGAGGTAAAGAAAGCCCTTATAAAGACAAGAGCAGGATGAGAACTATGGTAAGCATTCCCGATTTGGAATTCAGTCTGAGCTGATAAGATCCCATCTCTCGCGGTGCTTTGGTGGTTGTGAATGTGATGTTGGGCCCCACAGCAACACACACACACACACACACACACACACACACACACACCCCAGTCTCATGCGGTGCTAGTGGGTGATGTCATGGAGATGGCAGGTGTGACCGTGTCATGACAGTGAAGTTGTGGCTGTCGAAGCATTGACCAAGAACTATAGGCCTATATTGCTTCAAACTAAGAACAGATATAGCCCCTGGTTCACCTCAGACTTGACTGCCCTTGACCAGCACAAAAACATCCTGTGGCGTACTGCATTAGCATCGAACAGCCCCCGCGATATGCAACTTTTCAGGGAAGTCAGGAACCAATATACACAATCAGTTAGGAAAGCAAAAGGCTAGCTTTTTCAAACAGAAATGTGCATCCTGTAGCACTAACTCCAAAAAGTTTTGGGACACTGTAAAGTCCATGGAGAATAAGAGCACCTCCTCCCAGCTGCCCACTGCAATGAGGCTAGGAAACACTGTCACCACCGATAAATCTATGATAATCGAGAATTTCAATAAGCATTTTGCTACAGCTGGCCATGCTTTCCACCTGGCTACCCACCAGCTCTGCACCCTCTGCTGCAACTTTTCCTTCACCCAAATTCAGATAGCTGATGTCCTGAAAGAGCTGCTAAATGTGGACCCCTACAAATCAGCTGGGCTAGACAATCTGGACCCTTTCTTTCTAAAATTAGCCGCCGAAATTGTCGCAACCCCTATTACTAGCCTGTTCAACCTCTCTTTCGTAACGTCTGAGATCCCCAGAGATTGGAAAGCTGCCGCTGTCATCCCCCTCTTCAAAGGGGGTGACACTCTAGATCTAAACTGTTACAGTTTTATATCCATCCTGCCCTGTCTTTCGTAAGTATTTGAAAGCCAAGTTAACAAACAGATCACCGACCATTTCGAATCCCACCGTACCTTCTCCGCTATGCAATCTGGTTTCCGACCTGGTCATGGGTGCACCTCAGCCACGCTCAAGGTCCTAAACCATATAATAACCGCGATCGATAAAAGACAGTACTGTGCAGCCGTCTTCATCGACCTGGCCAAGGCTTTTGACTCTGTCAATCACCGCATTCTTATTGGCAGACTAAATAGCCTTGGTTTCTCAAATGACTGCCTCGCCTGGTTCACCAACTACTTCTCAGATAGAGTTCAATGTGTCAAATCGGAGGGCCTGTTGTCTGGACCTCTGGCAGTCTCTATGGGGGTGCCACAGGGATCAATTCTCGGGCCGACTCTATTCTCTGTGTATATAAATGATGTCTCTACGCAGACGACACCATTTTGTATACATCTGGCCTTTCATTGGACACTGTGTTAACAAACCTCCAAACGAGCTTCAATGCCATACAACACTCCTTCCGTGGCTAGTAAAACTAAATGCATTCTCTTCAATCGAACGCTGCTTGCACCCGCACGCCCGATTAGAATCACTACTCTCGGCGGGTCTGACTTAGAATATGTGGACAACTACAAATACCTAGGTGTCTGGTTAGACTGTAAACTCTCCTTCCAGACTCACATTAAGAATCTCCAATCCAACGTTAAATCTAGAATCGGCTTCCTATTTTGCAACAAAGCCTCCTTCACACATGCTGCTAAACATGCCCTCGTAAAACTGACTATCCTACCGATCCTTGACTTCGGCGATGTCATTTACAAAATAGCCTCCAACACTCTACTCAGCAAATTGGATGTAGTCTATCACAGTTCCATCCATTTTGTCACCAAAGCCCCATATACTACCCACCATTGTGACCTGTACGCTCTACATACTACATATTCGTCACCAAACCCACTGGCTCCAGGTCATCTATAAATCACTTCTAGGCAAATCCCTGCCTTATCTTAGATCATTGGTCACCATAGCAACACCCACCTGTAGTATGCGTTCCAGCAGGTATATCTCACTGGTCATCCCCAAAGCCAACACCTCCTTTGGCCGCCATTCCTTCCAGTTCTCTGCTGCAAATGACTGGAACAAACTGCAAAAATATCTGAAGCTGGAGACACTGATCTCCCTCACTAACTTTAAGCATCAGTTGTCAGAGCGGCTTACCGATCACTGCACCTGTACACAGCCCATCTGTAATTAGCCCACCCAACTACCTCATCCCCATATTGTTATTTACATTGTTATTTATTTTGCTCATTTGCACCCCGGTATCTCTATTTGCACATCATCTTCTGCACATCTATCACTCCAGTGTTAATACTAAATTGTAATTATTTTGCACTATGGCCTATTTATTGCCTTACCTCCATAACTTACTACATTTGCACACACTGTATATACATTTTCTATTGTTTGACTGTACGTTTTGTTTCTTCCATATGTAACTCTGTGTTGTTGTTGTTTTTATCGCACTGCTTTGCTTTATCTTGGCCAGGTCGCAGTTGTAAATGAGAACTTGTTCTCAACTGGCTTACCTGGTTAAATAAAGGTGAAATAAAAATACAAAATAAAAATGATAATAAAGTTATATTAATTGTTAAAACAGTAATTTGACTTAGCTAAGGTAGTAGTGGGAAGAGTTTGATTGATGGTGTCATTTTTGGGGGGATTAGCTTATTTAAATATTTTATAGCTAGCCTAAATTCTGACACTAATGGGGACGTGAGAGTACCAATCAGTGTACCAATCAGTGTACCAATCTTGGAAAAGTCCCACAGAGCAATGTGTCGGAAATGTTCAACATTGTGTCCAACAATGTCATGGGGAACTCTGAATGAACCGCTGTTTTATGTAGTAGAAGTCAAGTTAAAGTTTTTACAGATATCCACATGGCAATCAATGTCACTGAAATGCATGGATATTTGACTACATACACAATAAAACATTTAAATTGAAATCTCAATTCATGACTATGTATACAGACCAACACTTTACATGGTGCGTTCATATTTTTTTTCAGTATACATTTAGGAGACTCAAAGAGTTTCATTGATTAGTTTGCATAGGTAGGGTATGGACAACTTCTCTCAATCCTGGCATGTGGGATAGAGAGGAGGGCACATGTGTCCTTGACAGGCTGGTGGGTAACCAGTCCCTGAAGTGGGACTAAAACAGGGATATAGCAAAGTTCAGGCACAGTTTCTCTCTTCTCTCATGAATAATGAAGTCAGAGCATCCTTCTATCGAGGATATGCTGTGCTGAGGATGATTCTGCAAGCACGCTTCTGGATGTGCTTCAGTTAATCAGAGAGGGCTTGAGTTAAGGAGAAATGCCAAGCTGGTGCTGCGTAATCCAGGCAGGGGTGAATGTAGCCTGTGTATATAGCTACCAGGTCAGCCTGTGGCACATTGAACCTTTTTAGTTTGCGTAGGAAGAACAACTTCTTGTTTCCCCTTCTAACCATGGATGTTACTTATTCATCCCACTGCAGATTCTTTTGCACAATGACTCAAAGAATTTTGACTGATTCACAGACTTGCAGGTCTTTCCCGTTGATTGTAAAGGGACTTGGATGGTGCGGGTTTATCACAAGTAGTGTACGCTGTTTGCTCGAGGAGGACTTGAGGCCCTGGTTAGTTTCTCTTTCTCCTTCTCCCTGTTTGAAGTGCTTCAGTAGGAAGGGGAGGCGTTGAGTCTGTGTGTGTGTGCGTGTGAGCACAGATGGCAGCTGCTCGGCCTAGCCTCTGTGTGGTAATTACTTTGTGTGGCGCGTTACTTAACTCTTAGCGCTGCAGTCTGCTGGGTTTCTCTCCTTTTGTTGTCGTAGACTCCTCAAAAAGAGAATGCTCTTAAAGCACAACTGAAGGCAATAATAAATGTATCTGATAAAAAACAGAATGTGGCATGGATATTACTCAAACATTTATTCTAGTGTCAAAATTGACTACAAAGTGTAAATAGGATAATTTTGTTCATAAAGTCATTTTCGTCCCAAAGCTGAGTTTTGTAAGTGAGTTCGTCATGACTTACTTGAGGGTTGGGTTTTGATTTCGACAATGCTCACTTGCCTTTTGTTCTCATGGGGGACTAGCATCACTAACGGCCACACTGAAATCTTGTTTTTCTTGAAGAGCAACACTGATGTGGAATTGGTGCGTTCAGTTGCTATTTAAGGGGCCATTCTGGGACATGGAAATGGCAGCACCAAGAGCTCCCAAGAGTTTACATTGAACTGAAGAGTCTGTCTTGTAGAGAGCAGACTTGGCCTAGATTGAAGCTTCTTGTAACTTCATCCATCTTCCAAATTCCAACTTGAGAGTAAGGAATCTTTCAGGAAGAATAGGCCATTTGGCCAAATTTAGGTGTTAGCATGATGTGCACGCTACATGCGAAATAGTTTTATGTTCACAATGTTTATTTGAGTCTTTAGATAAAATTATGTTGGTTGAGCTTTAGGTCAGTGGGCCACCATGTTGCTTAAAGCCACAAAGAGTGTCTTGTACTGATGCTAACTGTATGCTAACTAATTTAACTAGTTGAGGGACAAGCCATATGTTGCCCAATGTCATAGTTAACCTTTAACCCTTTCCTTCCAGATTTCCTACCATGGCAGTGGGGAGGGAGCGGAGAGCGACGATTCCGAGGGGGAGAACCAGGAGCTTGCACAGATTGACAGAGGTATGTGGCCCGCTCGCTCAAACCAACCCTTCTATGGTCTTCGTTGTTACATGGATATGTACAAGATGGTCATTTAACAGATAAAGCAACTTCCAGGTAACACAGTATAGAAGAAGACAATAAGCTTATCGCTATCTCTGCCTCTTCAACTTTGACCTATACTCTTGGTCGTCCCCCTCAGAGAGGCGGCGGAATTGTGGCCTGACCCCTCTGGCCACCAGCCAGCAGCACAACCAGGGTCCCCTATCTCCGGCACGCCTCTGTCGCCTACGCCTCCTTCTAGACCCAACTCTGGACCGCCACTCATCCGAAGAAGAGCTGGAGCGAATCAACCGCGGCGTTGGAGATGGCAGGAAGTGGACGCTGCACCATTGCCACGGCGACCACCACAGCAGTGCCTCCAGCGACGAGGAGGTGCGGGACCTGTTCGGCTGTGGCCCGGTGGCGGCGGCCTTGGAGCCTGGGACTTGCCTGGCGGCCTCCCCCAGCCCGGTGCTCTTTAGCTCCAGCCCGCCTCGCAGCCTCAAGCCCCCGCCCCCCTTTCGGCTCCAGTTCCAGGTGGTGCAGCCTGCTGCCAGGCCCATTATCTTGACCCACTTTGACCAGTCAGCGGTTCCCTATAGGAAGCACAGACACAGCTACGGGGGAGAGGTTGGGAGGCCAAGTCTGGACTTGGAGAAAATGCAACAGGTTAGTGTTACTACGTAGCGTCTACAACTCTTAAATAGCAACCGTTAGTATAGCGTTGTTCATTCTCCAAACAGCCTAGCATTCTGTGGTTTGGATAGAATCACATAGCTGGGTCATTCTATGAATATAGTGCCTTTTGGGTAGTGCCTTTTGGATAGTGTATTGTGTCATTTAGAGCACATTTTCAACTTCATAACAAAAAAAAATCCCATCTCGAGGTTAAATTAAGAAAAAAATGACTATAACAGTGACAGGTTTGACCGTAACAGGGTTGACGATTTCATCTTAAATCAGCCATTATCCCCCTTGTGATGGAGAATTAAAGCTTATTGTGTGGAAAACAGGGATGGAAGATTGCATTCAATCTTCACAACAATATTTGAAGTTTTTAAAACATTTGTAGCCTATCTATTTATGGGTAACAGGGTTAATGTGTTATGCTTGGCACGCTTTTCCACCACAAAACACCAGAAAATTACCAAAAAGAGTGGAACCAGCTCACCTGCTTTTACACTACATTTTGACCATTAGATGTTCAATGTTTCTTTTGAATAAAAATTAATATTTTTTACCATATTGAAAAGAAAGTAGGTTCACATTACAGGGTTGACCTTAAACCTGAGGGACTAAATGTAAATTAAATCACTAATCACATGAAATAATTAAAAGTCTTCAGAAATAACTTTCCCAAAGCAACAAAATAACTAGGGCTTTACAATGATGGTGAAAACTTGGGAAGATCTTGGGGTTAAGTAGATTAAAATCTTCCCAGAAGTTGGACAAACGTGACATGGGATATTCCAAAAAGGGAGATAAAAAAAATATATATATATGTATTTACATGTAAACACACTGCTATTTGAATTTTTAACATGATTTCCTTTAGTTCGAGTCAGATTGTAGATGTAGGTGAACCAACTGTTAAATTGAGTGTTTTATCAAAAGTTATACACATAATGTTTGAGGGACATAAAAGACACTTGTGGAACATCCCAGTTCCCTTTGGGATTGTTATATTTTTTATTTTTATAGTTTTTAATGCGAATTAAGGCCAAGGTCTCAAGCGATTAGCCATGCTAACTATAGCTCCTTTTTTACTACCAAAAAGTGAGGTATAAAACCTATTGTGGATTGCTATCTGTTCCCTGTAGACTACATCCAATCTTATAAAACAAACAGGAAATTATCATATTTGGATGGACTAACCATTTAAGCTTCACCGAAGGGGCATACTTTATCTATGTTGGATGATGATGCCATGTTCCAACTCTCGTTTGCGTGTGGAGTCTGAGGACCACACCTCAGATCTTCCAAGATGACTCATTGCACTTTGACGACCTTTTGACACAAGTGTATTTTTCATATTTTTCTCACCCAAGGACAGTTGACCAAGAAAGTAGTGTGAATATGTTATCACTCAAACGGTATTACGTACACTGTGGAACTAGGCCATACTTTAGGGTAGCCTTGTACCACCAGCCAGACTGTAGACTATGCTTCATTACATTGAGTTTGGGATTAGGTAAAGGGACACAATAGCGTTGCTTTCGTGCACACACGCACCCACACACTTCATGGCCGGGCGCTTGCCACCTCGGTGGTCCGGAGAGATGAAGGAGAGGGAGGCACGGACGGCAGATGTCTGCCCTCGTTTCTCACAAAAGCCAGCAAGGCAGAAGGAGAGGATTAAATACACAACAGAAAACGACAATGACTAATGAGTCACAGAGAAGCTGGTCCAGGGATCGTTAAAATCCAATAGCTACATTGGCCCAAACTCTGATATTGGAAGTGTGTGTGTGCGCCTGTGTGTAGGGAAGGATTTGAGGGGTCCCCATGTCCATGGGTGTTTCTGGAAAAAGGGAACAGATGAGAGACAGCACTGACAAAGGCTAGGGGAAATAAAAGGAAAGGACGAGGTTGTGTGTCTCTGTCTGATCTGCATCTTTGAGTGTGTATCTGAGTGTGTGTGTGTGTGTGTATCTGCATCTTTATGTGTGTATGTGAGCTCGGTCAAGTGGAATGGGAGGTGCTGTAGGGAAAACAATAGGGGGTTCTTCAGAGGTAGCTGCCAGACAATACTCTCCCATGAACCCTTTAGCTGGGCAACTCCAAGTCTGCGTCCCTATGGACCCTGGTCAAAAGTAGTGTACTGTATAGGGAATAGGGTGCCATTTGGGATGTATATTTGGAGTCTCCAAATTACCAATCTAAACAAAATGTCTAGACTTCTCCCTCCTTTCTATCAAATGTTCTCTCCCTCTGTTTTGTCTTTCATGTCTCAACTGTCTAAAAAGTCAAAGTCAAAAAACCTTTCTCTCTGTTCTTTCGCACAAACAACTATTTTACAGTGGACCACACTCTCTCCATAAAAAGAAAACCTAGAATACATTTTGCAACTATGTTTCCTGAAATTTGCAACCAGAGCCCCCCACTCCCACTATTCTACAATTTTGCACCAAATCAAGGAAATTGGTCTTGATGTTGACACAATACATTGTAGCACGGTGCTAGGACATACCATGAAGCCAAACACCGACTAGTAGTAGTAGCACCTTTGCAATAGGCTGCTAAAATAAAAGGAGAAGCAATTTAGAGGGGTTGTTAATGTCAGGGATACAACTCAGTAGTTGAGCGAGAAGGAAATGTGATAAAACCAGCATACGACATAACAGTGTGACATAATGTACAGTCATTTATCTTGTAATATTCTTAAGCGGGTCAAAGGGTCACACGGCTGTTGTTTTGTTGTTGTCTCTACTACTAATCCACCGCGCTCACGGTAATCCGAACCCAATTGCTCAGATGTGGCACGGCCCATTGTCTGTAGGAAATTATTGTCAGTTCATGTGGCAGATGTCTTTTTTGCCTGGCTGGCCACAAATGATTGGTCTGTCAGATATGCATTAAGTTACACAACTGTGCGACCTTGAAAAAAATCTGAATGTCCTCAAAATGACAGAAATGCATATAAAGTTTCAGGGATGATACAGAGCACATTTAAGAGCTATTTAATGATATTCACCAAACGTTCAACTACTAAACGGACTGTAGAAACATTGTTGTTGGGAAGGGTTGGGCATGTGAGGTCCATACCAAATCTCCTTCCCTCCACAACAGCAGGAGTCTTGCATTTACATTCTAACTTCCCCTTCCAAATAGCCCAATTCCCCTTCAATAGCACCAGTCCCGCTGCCTCCCCATCAGACAATTCCTTGATTGTAAAGGGCCCCCGTCACTTACGAGAGCGGTTTTGCTGGGTGGACTGAAGAGAAGGAGTCTTTGACAGGATATTATAAGCTTCATTGACTGGCTTGTTTGGTTTAGTAGCAGCTGCACTTTCTTGACTATAATTCTTAATTGACTCACAATGGTCAGTTGCTGTGACCTCATCGAACATGAATTTACTTCTAATTGTCAATGAAACCCATTGGTTGCTCTCTGAGGAATAAACTGCCCTCTAAGTGTGCAGTTTAAGCTGCATTCTTTGTATAAAATGGGCTCTACAAATCAATTCATTATTATTATTCACGGGTGTTTTGAAATGTTTCAGTATCACATGGACAGTATGCTGAGGGATAATGTTGGTCCAAAGAGGGATGTTTGCTCATAATTTTTTCTCCTTTGTTCCCCTCAGAAAATGCTCCTGAAAAAGAACTGTGGTGGGAAAACACGAACCATAAAGATTCGGGTGAGTTTACATTCATCTGCAATTTCACTTTATTGTACACAAATACACCCATATACTCCCAAATACACACTTAACCACTCACAAACCATTTTCCATCCAACCATTTTCATGCAAGTAAAGTACATGTCAGATAAAAGACTCACTACAGGCCTGATGGAAACAGCATAATTGTAATTTCCTAAATGTCAACAAAACAAAATATGTTAGACGGGTGGATATTTTTGGGGATGAAATAGATAATGCGACAAAATGGCAGTGGAAATGTTTTTTCTTCACAATTGTTGATAGAATAACTGGAATGTCGAAGTAAACAGCAGTCACGCTTGCACAGTTTATTAAGCTACAGATGAATTAGAATATGATGAACTTCACAGGGTGGTGAAAGTGCTTGGTGATGAGCCTAATGATCATTTCCCATGAAAATCTTAATTTGTATGCTGGTGACATAATGGTCAGTGCTTTGCTGCCAATTGGCAAATAAAAATGATATTGCTCTAATCTCATCATGCAACCTCTGCACTGTATCTGTGAACCGTTGGCTAGAGCGCATGTGCCAGACCAGAGTGGGCAAATGTGCTCTTATCGCAAGACTTTCTGTGGCAAAACCATCGGCAGAGTAAAAAATGGGATGGAAACACAGAACTTCTGTTTTTTAATTCGGTAAATACGACAAAGTGCTTTTTATGTGTACTACATCATTACGCACAGCCTTTTATCCACAACAAGCCAGTTTCCATGGAAACACACCTCTGCAGGTAAAATGCGCATATCCTTTTTAGGTGAATATCAGATATTTTGCTTAAATCTTTCGACAAGTGGATTGAAACCTAGCTACAGACAATGTCACACTCCTTTTGGCCCTTTATTGAAACTCAATTGCATTACTCCACTTGTTATAGGCTCGTTTTCTCTCTCTCTCTCTCACACACACACACATTTGTTTTACTATCCTTGTGGGGACCAAACAACTGATTCCCATTCAAAATCCTATTTTCCCTAACTCCTAAACCTAACATTAACCCCAAACCTAACCCTACCCCTAAACCTAACCCCTAAGCCTAAAATAGCCTTTTTCCTTGTGGGTAACGGCAAAAAGTCCCCACTTGTTTTACTATCCTTGTGAGGACTTCTGGTCCCCACAAGGATAGTAAAATCAAAACACACACACACACAGAGTCCTTATCCCTTCAAGCCGAGCCATAATACCCAGTCAAGATGGCCGTGTCCATTAAAGTAGCAATAAGGCTGAGAGGTCATGCAGCACCGTGAACAACCGTCTGTCTCACTACCAACACCTGGATGCCCCTGCAAATGCATGCTGGGTTAG